AATCAAATCTAAACCTAATTAATATGTCCCTCTGTTTGTCACTTATCTTCTAATTACGATTCGTCTGGAAGCTCATTTTTGGACCTGATTGTGACAGGGATAGGAAATGCATTTCGTTCTAGTCATCTGTGACCTAATGGCGCCTAAGGTTCACTCTTGACATTGCGCTTTAGAAATTACAGTGTAATTACATGATTTTAATTCAAGGACGTTAATGTAATCTCATTAGATGTTTTCCTAAGTATTCCGCGTCTAAGTTCTCCACACTCTTTAGACTCGAACGATGGGAATTCGTCGTTTTGTGTTACATAACCTAGATAATATGATGGATTGCTGCAGTTTTTGATGACATTATCATTGTCCTAATGATGGATTCAGCAAGGACCTTTTCTACCAGACACTAACCCTGATGATGGAAACAGAGTTAGTCTCCAACATTGGCGCTGCTAATCGCCCAGACAACATGGCTCAAAAACCAAGAACACAGCCATCTTTATCTAAATAGACTATTAATTCTAACACTAATCTATAAAATGCTGAAAATACGTGTTGTTGTCATAGAGTAAACGTCCTAAGTTTTACACCCATTCAATATTCGCGCAGTACAAGTTTTGTTTCCATGTATACTTTAATTCAAAAAAGAACATGGCCGTCGGAAAGTTACCCGGGTTGTAATAGAATTACGACACTTCATACGTGGTAGCTGATATATTCTTATTTCCTACGTAACCAAGCGTGCTACATGTATTACCAATTTCACGATGTATAATTTCCTTCTTATACAATTAAGAGAAAAGCAACACTGAAATAAAATCTTGTCAGTTCAGGAACAGCACTTCGGAATTGTCTGACCACTGTATTTATTCGTGGTTTGACTGAAATTTTGCGCGCCATGGTTGAAGGAACGTTTTGATGGCTGGGGAGCTGGGTAGCATAGTGGTCATCAGACAACAGATGTGGTTTTGGTTTCCACGAGAGAAATACCAGAAGTTACTATTACGTAGTAGGAATATTTCTTATTGTCGATGAACTTTTTTTATTTTTCTATGTCTGTGGTGGGCTTTCTATTCCACTTTGCAAACCAATCGCATACAGTCGTACTATAAAATCTGCATCAGTTTACAGCCACTAACAGGGCTGTAAGGACCCTCAATCTACGGTTTCTCTTTGGGTTGACATCCTTACAAATTTCATACAAGTACAATTTATATAAACGTAGTTTTCCTCAGTACATCCATCAAATTCCGGGACGGTTTCACGGAATGTACCAGTACCTCCGCTCTCCCCATACGTCTGCATGGCATGGTACTGAATTTAGCACTAGAAACATTTATATTTTATTCTTTGTTAAATAACATCACTAATTGGTACAATATCATGAAATGATGTACGAATTATCTTATCGCAAAGTAAACTCTCGATAACTGCATCTTGTTTTCTGACTATAGTTCACTGCGGTATTGAATTGCATCCAGAAATCCTCTTATGTATATAGGCGTGTTATTATAGTCATTTTGCAATTTTAACGGAGAAATTGCGAGTGGGGTCAACAAGTACTTCTGAAACGTCGGTAAACTTCTACCAGACTACACGGGCGAAACATCCTAGAAGACAGTTTTCTTCATACTCGTTGCTGTGAGAACCTGAAATCTCACCTAGTTCTTGTTTGCTAAAAAAAATAATTCTGATCGACTGCTGTAAAGTAGTCAGTCCCATTTGATCGAAATATTGCAAATATCAAGCGTTTGTTATGTTGTAATGTCAGATGTTTTGTGGCTGATTACTCTCCCATTCAAGAACACATAACAAGAGTGTATAAAACTTGTACTGATTTTATAAACTTAGATTTGTAAGACTTGAGGTTCTCACAGCGGTGAGTATGAAGATATCCGTCTTCTGGGTTATTGGTTAACATCGACCAGACTACACAGCGCAATAACCCAGAAGACGGATATCTTCAAACTTAGATTTGTCGTTTTTTATAGGTAGAGACCTTGCGTCGGGCTGATCACTCATCCAAGGAGTCCTACCATTGTCCAAATAGATCAATTGAACAAATTAAAAACCTCGACACCTACTGATAAAAGAGGATGAGAGAAAGAAAGAAAGAAAAAGAAGAAGAAAGATTTGTTTTTTAATTTAATTAGGTATTACGCAGTGGCACGTGTGGTGCGTAAAGGTTTAGCTCCACACATTTTTGTCTTCGGTACAAGATGGAGGGAAGCGATCAGATTCAAAACCCTGTCGATTTATTCTTGGGAACAGAAGTCCTTCGGGAGTCAAACCTAGGCTAAGGAACCCGTTATCAAACCACTTTATTTACTGAAATATTCCAGACAGCGTGAGGAATGTATTATTTAGAGTCATGAGTTCCAAAAATAGTTTATTTATTTATAATTTATTTAATGACGCTTTTTTAGTAGCTCAGACTGTATAACGTCGAGGAAATGTAGTGGAATTGGTAGACAGTCTGGTGTACGTTTTCAGGCTTGGTAATATAGTCTTAGCTTTGTGTATTTTTATCGGTGGAATTACGCGACACAGTAGTGTAACACTTCAGATAAGGCGGATTCAACTTCTGTCGGTTAGATATTCAAAATCTTTCTTTTATCACATCTGACAGAAGAATTTGCAGTTTGTTCCAGGTAGCAGCTCTCCGGGTTTGCACTGTGAAAGACACCGTCAGACTAACACACTAACTAAGATACTGACATTTCTTTCGGTTACGACACCGTCCAGAGGAATCTACCGCCCCAATCGTCTGCTTTCTTCAGTGTAATTTGATTTTCTATACTTTGATAACGTAACTTCAAACTTTTGATTGATTTTTGAAGAGGGTTGTTGCGCCGTATAATCTAGAAGAAGTTTACTGACATTTCGGAGGTCCTTGCTGCCTCCATTATCAGGGCTATGAGTTGCAAGGATCTCTGAAACGTCGGTAAACTTCTACGAGACTATAGGCAGCAACAACCCAGAAAACAGTCATCTACATACTCACCGCCGTGAAAATCTAAAATCCTACTTATTGATATTTCCTTTTTCCATAATGAGAAATTTCGTGATATATGGCACTTCACCTGAAATTCTTACGGTCATGACATCATTAAGGTTGTACAGAGCTAATTATATTAATAGATCTCGAATGATGTAGGCAACAAGACGAACATTTCTTAAGGGAACTTGTTATCGATTTTGGTATTTTGGAATGAAGACGGATTTAAGGCGATTTTCGAATTGACTAAAAGTAAATATTTACAGTGTCTTTTCGGACTGAATAATAACAAGAACTTCCTCAATGTTTTCTGGCTAAATTATAGATAATCATTTCCACAAATTTTCAAATTGAATAATAAGCATTTAGTCAATTTTGTTTGGCTTTAAATAATAAGTATTTCCTCGATCTTTTTTAATTTAATAATAATAATAATAATAATAATATTTACTTTGCTTAATAATAATGCTCTTAATACTCTTTCATTTTCGTTGTTAACCTAATTTCTATTCGTGAATGTTATTCCCATTAATGCAATTAAATTCAGTAACTTGTTCAAATTATGTATTTGTTTTTACATTTATTTATTTATTTATTTATACTTTGTTTACTTATGTATTTAAACCTCGCGGGTGAGTTGTTAGCTCTTCTGTTTTGTGTTTAGGAGGTCCCATGTTCGTATCTCAATCCGGAGACCGGCCTTTCTGAGATTTTTACTATTTTTGTCTAATTCTGCCCCGAAATGTTCCGATTGTAAAACGGTGCCATCGAAATAGTTCCCTGGAGACATTGACGAAAATCTTATACCACGCTATTTCCGTTCGACATTCTTTACCAATTAATTACTAATATTCAAGGAAAGTTAAGAGTTAGTCATTATAGAGTTTGAATCAGTCTTATTTATATATTTGTGTGTATCTTAACTTGACCCTTAGAATGTTATGATACGTATTTTGATTTTTATTTGTAAATATGTCAGAAGACTTGTTTGAATTATGATATTAATTGCCCTGTAATGTAGCTGTAGGGAGGCCAGCATTACTGGTGATTGTTCCGCAGTGTGCTAACCATGTGTGTGTGAATGGCGGTTGGGGGGGAGAGCATGTGTAACAGAGAGAGATAATGTATGAGAAAGAGAGAGGAAGAGTTCGTATGTGTTGAAAGAGAGATAGTAGCCCGGCATGTGTGTGTGTGTGTGTGTGTGTGTCAACCCTACGCTCGCTACGGAATGGAGATGCTACTGCTGGTTAGGTTTGAAACGCGTTTTTAGTTTTTATTATATTTTTAATGTTTTTTTTAACTAGTGGGTGGAGACTCTAGTGTGGCGTTTCAGTTCAGCTCAAGCTATGATGGGTATCCAACGGATGTAGTGTGAAAGTAATATCATAAAATAACCCAGTGCAGTGCTTGAATTTATGAAGTGAGGTTGTGTTACTCGTCTTATCCGCCTGTTATCAGTGGCTGTACAAAAGCAATGCCCTCTTTTTGTTATTTTAACCTGTTCAGAACATCATTAAAACAAGGCCGGAGATGGATATATAGCTTTTAAATAATGGATTTTTTAAAAACATTTTGAAACTATTGAAAAAAACATTTCAGTTATTCATCATACCACTCCCCACTACCGATCCATTCGTGTTCAAGAAATATGCAACAAGTTTTAAATTGCACTATGGTTTGTGATGTTTTTGTGTTGATTTTCTTCGTGTGTTCTTTTAAGAAGAATATGTGCAGTGATTGTGAAAGAAATTAATATAGGTACTGGTAATTTTGATACAGATAATTTGATAATTTAAGAAGAACGAATATTTATTTATTCTACGAATATTTTCAAACTTGAAACTGTGAAATGGTGATGAAAAATAATTAAACGTTAATAGATTTTCACAAGAGAAGAGAAGATATCAATATTGGGCAAATAATTAAACGTTAATATATTTTTACAAGAGAAGAGAAGATATCAATATTGGATTTCGATTTTAGTTATGAATGGAAAATATTTTACAGTTCTCTCGAAAATACTCATTTATAAGAAATGAAACTTCTGGCGGTGTATTTTATTCCACACACTGCATTATTAATTTTGTAGAAAAGTGTTCAAATGTGGCCTTACACTTGTGATTATTGCCACTGTTGAAGAAATGTTTACTTGAATTATATTTGCAGCAACTATTGTGTGAGAAATCTGATATTTCTTCGGATTTCATAAGTAATTTCCTTGTGTGGACAGGAACTGGATGTCAGCATTTTAAAGGACGTCATATACTGCTTAATTCTTTGGTCATTTTAAGATTGTCGCTGTTTATCAAATACAAAGTAACATAATTAATATGTTTATATGTGTGATGAATCAATTATTGTTCTGTGCGTACTTTCAAAATTTCAAATAATATATATTTTTCATCCGTGTTCTTACAAATATTTAGAGACTATTTACAGATTCGCTTCATTATTAATTAGTGTAAAATAACACAACTGACGACTTTATGAGTGGCACGTTCAACTAACGAATTTTTACCGTAGGTTCAAAATTCGAATTTCAAATTACTGTTTACTTTGTGAGATTTTACAGGTAAAATATGACAGAAGTTTCATATGCATACAGAAAATGTCACGTAAACACTTTAAATACTATTTTTATTGCCTAATTCTCTAATAATTCGAAGAATATGACTAATTGACGTAAGAAAATTAAGTATAAATAAAGAGAAACTTTAAGTGTGACACTTATCACAAGAAGAGAAGAACGGCCCTGTTCATGTCTTCATGGTTAACAGCATTGAATGCAACGCACATCCCAACTATGACTAACGGAGATCCATCGACAATGGAAGATGAAGAGTCCGCAAACCGGAACAGCGGCTCCCCCGACTATATCCGTGATAAGTACGACATATTCAACTCAGAAGCAAACCTGTTGCATCCTCATCTGCAAGAGAACACTGGACTCGTACCCCACACCCCACGCCTCCCTTCTCCGAAGGCGGTCTATAACAGCAATGGAGTAATGGTGAGTTGGATGCTTTAATTTAAATAAGGCAGTGGAAATTGTGTGAACGTGGCCGATGGCTTATAAATTGAGTATTGGCACGGCAACAGAGTTGTACGCTTACCCCTTTGAAGTCGAAGCTTGTCTAAGTAATAATTAAGAATTCAGTCCGTACCGCAAAGAAAACGCCATGGTTCACCATTACAAAGATCAGCCGATTAACGCTCTTTAAGAAAATAACATCTATTTATAAGAAAGAAACTAGGCACAGAGGCAAAATGCAAAGTAACAAAGAAACACAGAAACAAAACGTATGGTTATTTTAAAGCAAGTTGTAACCTTAATGAAGACTGGGCTTTCAGCGATAGAGTCAAGGTCACCCTTATTTGCTACCCCGTCTTCCTGCCAAAACATTTCCATACCAAAATCTAGGTATGCATATGTGTTTCACCTCCCTTGGGTTTAGACGCTTTGCAGAATTATTTGGTTTTCAGAAATACTCGGAAATTATGTATTAATAACTTATGCCTATGTTAAATATGGTCCCATATTACTCTGTAATTAATAGTTGCGTAGAGAAATCTGGTACGTTACGATAGATCGGACATGCAGTTTGGATAGAGACAAAATAAATACTTGTTAAATTTTGTACAGTATTCCTGTTTGAAAGCAGATTCTTCAGAAATCGGAAAATAATTTTAAAGACAGCAATAGACCATATGTATCTTAGGGAAATATAATTTCAATCGTCGGAGGTGGATGGAAATCGCTCAAGATCATGTCAAGTGTCGAACTTTTATATCAGCTATGATGAACACTTGAATTCTTTTAGATTGTAATGGTAACGAATCTCTTATAGTGAGACAGATCAACTAATCTTACGTTCTACACCCCAGGTTCCAATAAATGATCGAATCTACGAGTAGTACATCAATCTAATCGCCATAACACATCATTCAACTAGCAATCAGTCGGTCCCCTCTTATTGGCTCATTCTTACGTTTACGTCTGTTTATGACTCGACTTATCACATTTATCTTTTGCACTTCGTCTGTACTTGGTACATCATTGTCCATCGTGATTACAGCGGACCATATTACGCCATTGTACTGCATTCCAAAAGTGCCTACCAGGGTCTCTCAAGACCACCGATAATAACGGTGAGAATTGTTATTTTAGTTTCGAGTATAATGAAAGATCGATTTTCCAACATTCTTCTGTATGTTCAGTTATTGAAATTAAATCTAATATCTAACAGAAGTGGCTACTGCACTGCGCTCTGCATATAGTCTAAAACTCTGTCCTTGACAGAGGTAGAGAACAGTAGAAGTATTACATTGCACGAAGGTATACTTTATTTATATAAACATCGAGGAAGATAACAAAGGCGGGGCATGTATCTTGCTTGAGGAAATGAGAAATGCTTTCACAATTTTGTTTGGGAAGGCTGGAGGGAGGAGACCAGTCTGTATACCTAGGTGTTGAAGGTTGGATGATACGTTGATGACTAAATTTATTTAGTTCAGTTGTGAATATGTAATGAAGTTTCGGACCCCGTAAAGGCCAGAAAATTTTGTTAGTTGAACAACAATTCTGCCCCATATTGTTAGAAGGCAAAATGGGAACTTGTGTCTTTTTTTTTTGTCCGTCTGCATGATTTATATCCGTAACCTCAAAATGGATTTTGTTGAAATTTTGTATTCGGGGTCTGCTGTAGAAGTCGTAAAGGAATTTACTTTTGACCGCTTAGATACCTCTGAATATTTTCTATGAGTATCCCAAGTAGTTGTTAATTCGAGTCATCTGGACCGCTTATTCCGTTCCTGCCAACTTACTAAATGAACTAAAAAAATGCTTTCAAACTAACTAAATTTAAAGTAACTTAAACTTCACTTTATTTTTGGCTTTTCCTACCACAAGATGTGACGGTTATAATGCTATGACTCGGTATGCCACAGCCTCGTTTCAAGTAACGAGATTTGTAGGTGATACTACATGCTGTTTGTCGCCACTTACAACCAAAATAAAACCTTGTAAGTTGATGTGGTGTTGTCAGACGACAACGGACGGCCTGAACTACGAATGAAATCGTCACAAGCGGTTCTCAGACATGTGTCGTTGGTTTTCCAGACCACTAGATAATACTGTAAGATATCAGCTCTGCAGCGAGGATGGCCGAGAGAGTAGAGTTGTCTTATCTTTTACTAGATACGCTGACTAGTCCCATAAGTTTCAATATTGTGTGTTGTAAGATTTTAATGAAATACAGACTGTTCCACAAGTTCATAACCATGGGGTAACTCGATTATTTTGCATTATAAGGAAAATATGGTGTAGTCGTTACAAATTACCAGTTTCCAGTGTAACTTGTTGAATCATTTACCTAGAACCTGCCGCAGTGACAGTAAAACGTCTGTTTGAATATGAGACTAAAATTACCCCAGAATTTATCTAAACACTTGAACGTAAAGGAAAGTTTCCGTTCCTGACGGGATTCGAATTTTTGTCTCAGCAAACCCAGTTACTTTGCAGTTCGAGCTGTACCGACTTATAATCATTTATGCAATTAACACCAAATACATAACATAAGTGTGTATATAGCCTAGCTACCTATTATTTGTCCAAAGCGACGCTGCGATTTAAAAATGCCCCCTCCCTTCTCCGAAATATCAGTTTTAAAGACTAACGTATTTTTCCGTGACTGAATTATTAACTGTGCTACTGAAACGTTTTAGTATTGTCGGGGTCTGTAAACGATGTGTACACGCACATACGGTCCGTGTGCCTGGAGAGATATCAGTTCTCATAACACAACGGATATCGTTTTCAAACGATAACGCTTAGTTTATCAATCGTCTTCTGATAGAAAGCTTATGTGCTGCAGTTTGTATCTCCTTCGAAGCAGCGAACTGAACCTGGCTTCGTCTTATCTAAAAACATCCCATTATTTATACAGACTATCCCTCTTGGAGCACAACCACTGTTTGTGTTACCACAATCATCGACGCAAAATCGGGGATGAGAGAAAACTGATTTTTTTTTTGGTTTATTTTCATCGTGTGACATTAAGTATTGGGGAACCTTGGTTCGATCCCCAGCAGGTACAAAGGATTTTTCTTGTAGATTCTTCCAGACCTGTTCTGCGGTCCATCCAGCTTTATATCCAGTGGGTATCTAGAGTAAAGCGTGGCCGGAGCGTGACGCTGTCCACTTATTCCCATCTGGTGCTGAGGTCAAGAACTAGTAAGAGATGTCTCTCCACTTAAGCGCCTCTTCGGCGGGACAACATTACTTCGCTAAAACGGAATATTTAATTACGAATGTGCGGTTGTGCTGCTAATCTTTTAGATTGCGATATCATATAAAAGTTTCCCTTCTTATACTATTGTAAATAAAACTGTTTTGACGTGCTAGTGATAATTGGCTTTGGAGGATATTACATATACTGAACAAAGAAAGACGGATATTTACTGGCCTATAGTGAAATAAAAATTCCAGTTCTGTTGGAAGATATTTTATTTAGATTGTTAGAGGTTAACTTCAGCTCGAGTCGGGATCCAGAAGAACTCGCGACTCAATGTTTATAGGTCGAATTCTTGCCATAAACTTTGGTCTCTGACGCGCGATATGGGAGCACAGTAACCTCTATGCTGATAACATTGAAACGCACAACAATAACCTATGTTTCAACAGGATTTCGGTAGTTTTAAACGTTTCAGACTCTTCCAGGGCTCACAGAAGTTTATAGGCCTGAAGATCTATTTGCCATGTTTGTATTATTGTCATGGTGAAATCTGCAAAAAAAAACCAACTGAAAGTGTTTCTGGTATTCGAGGTTCTAGCGAAGGTGGTCGATTGTGATCCCTGTGAATTGTGACGCTGTCCTTAACTAACGTTTTAGAGGAGAATCATAACCCAGAAGACTGCAAGAACATCGTCTATTTGGTAAAAGAACAAATTACTGCATCCTGCATTCAGATTGTAGATTATGATTAAAATAACAAGCCAGTATTAATAAGCCTGTATGTTTCTGAATAATCACAAGCGTGAAAAGAAGAGACTATTCGGAAGACAGAGACGTAGATGGGAGGATAATATTAAAGTGGATTTTAGACAAATAGGCTTGGATTCATATGTCTCAGGATGGAGACCGGTGGTGGGCTCGACTGAACGCTGTAATGAACCTCTGGGTTTTATAGAAAACGGTGAATTTCTTAACTAGCTTAGAGTACTATTACATTTTCAGGAAGGGCTCTGGTCTTTGAAGTTAGATAGTCGGTATTAGTTCTTATTAGTGACAGGAATTTCCTTCTCAGATTCTAATAATAACAGAACGGAACTAAATTAAAGGAACAGAAACGACAAGTATTGAACTGAACTGTTTTCTGCTAAACAGTTAAAGAAGCTTCTATTTATTAGAGACAGTTGATTAAGTGTTGTCGTAATGGACATTGAGAGTAAAGTTGTCAAGGTCTCAATATTTTTATATGTATTATTCCTTCTTCCTTATATTTGTGAATGAAATTCTGTAAGTTACATACCTAAGAAAGATGTTTAACGTAAAAATAACTATTTTAATGTGCACAAATGTATTTTTCTATAGAGACCGCTTAATCTATTGTGTCATAGGTTACTCACTCACATGTGCCTACATGCGGGTTATCTTTTTTCCACTAGAATAAGGCGTTACTAAAGTCTAATTCGGTGACCTGCATAGTGCGTGGATTCGTCTGTATTATCACAGAGAATCTCAAGAAGTCGAAATGAACAATCAGAAGTTCTGTTTCTAGGCTGCGATGAGACATCACGCTAATGAGAAAGGCAGCCAAGATGTTCAAGAAATGTGAGTAGGTAAATGTTCGGAACAAGAAATGCGTGACCTCTTTATTGTTAATACATCGGGGGATGCAGTAGACGTTGATTCAGTGTCGTCTGAAGTCGGTCATGATTTTAACTGCATACTAGAACGTTATCCATTACGTGAATGTAGTTTGTGGACTTTGATTAAATTTCATACCAGA